TTGGTGAGAAGATTGGTGTTGGAATCAATTCTGAGTTGCTGTTATAACTTTGCTGTCTGCTATGTTTTGACTTCATTCTTATTAACATTGTCTGATATAAACAAGGCCTGCTGCGGTTGCCGTATTGAATCTTCAGCAAACGGTTGATAGCAGGGGTAAAGGAGACTATATACTATTTGTAGACATTGCATCTCCAATGACAACTATACGGTGTGGCCAGGCCGGGTTAGAGCGAAGCGCGAGGTTCACAACTTTGGAAAGCAGCACTCTGCTGGTTTTATTCCCAATAACGACAACGGAGTCAGGACTTCTCTTATATTATAACTCGTGCTGTAACACGGGAAAAAAGGCTTGTCCGTCTAAAATTCATGTTGTCATTGCTTACTGAACAAAAGAAGGTTATCCATGACATTACTATTGAGTTCTGCTTGGTTTTAAATATGTAACAGAGATAAATGGGACTTAGTCCTCCCTTTTCAATGTAAATTAATGTAGTACCACTGTATAAAGAACTGGATGCTCTCATATGTAACATGTATTAGATGAACAACAATGGATATGGATGAGGTTGCTTTGCCAAATAAACACGTTATCCAAAATATTCATTTTGTCTCGTAGATGCTGCAACTTCTTGAATTGAGATACTGTATTAGTTTGTATCAAATCCAACGTGTATACTCCTAACTTGCATTACAGGTTTGTTTTGATGAAATTAGCATGTGGTATGGTTTCACGGGTTTGGATGTATCCAATCATTCAAAACCACAACAAGTTAGAATCCTGAATTCTTAAAAGGTGCCCTCGTAGCCTGATCGTAGATTCAATGATTGAACTTGCAAAAAAAAAGGAAACTCCACTTAAATAAACAATTCCCAATCTGAATCCTACTAGTTATGAACCAAATTCGGGGAACGGAAGCATTGAAACTCGGAATAATCCAATGAAACGTGCCAAATGAATTTAAAGTAACACGGGTTGAACTTTGCCACCATAACTCAAATAACACCACTTGATTAGATTGCAAGTGGAGATGAATGAACCTGAATCTTGAGTCCATATTATCTTGCACTGGAAGGCGACGTAAAACCTGTCAAAGATGTCTTAAAGCCAAAATAATCTTGCACGCATTCGTTAGTCCTGATAAACACGTACAGAACGTAAAAAGATAAAATGAAAGAAAGCGCACAGGGAGATGGAATCTTAAGGGCAAAAATTAGGGTGCAACAAAACCCATTCGGCCCCGGTGTCTTGTCTCCATCGCAATATCGCTTATTTCAATTCTTCGACAGAAAAAGGTTTCTCCAAGAATCTGTTATCTTCAGTAAGCAAGGCTTTAAACTCCATTCTACTCAGCACATGCCTTTGAAAAAACGTTTCTTTGTAACTTTTTTCAAAGAAACTCAAAATGCTATCTTTAATCTGAGACACCCCCCTTCTACCTTCCTCTGTTTCAATCTGAACTATGGTCCTCTTACGGTTACGAGAAGACACCATTCTATGAAAAAACTTCGAATTCGTATCACCTTCTTTTATCCATTTAACCTTAGATTTTTGATAAAGCAAACTCTCCCTCCTATTTAATAGATTCCAAAAAGAATTGTTTAAGTTTTTGTGCTTCACCAACTCATATTGATAGTTACCTCCTACACCTTTATTCCACCTGTCTTCAATGAAATTCAACTCCGCTACAGCTTGTTCAAGATTCTTCTCCATTCAATTGTAAACTTCTTTGTTCCACTATCTAAGTTTTCCCTTCAACAACTTGAGCTTCTCTTTAAGAATAAACACTTTATTACCACTGATATGAAAACTACTTCACTTTTTCTTGGTGAACTCGACAAAATCTACGTGATCAAACCAACCACGAATAAACCTGAAAGGTTTTGGGCCTCATTTTCGAACCTCACATTTAAGCCAAATAGGACAATGATCTGAAATGTCACGTTGTCCCGTTTCCAGGCCTAAAAGATTCCAACCAGAGACTAAACCACTCGACACCAGAATTCTATCCAATTTATTGCTAACACTGCCGTCAGCCTTCCTCCAAGTAAATTTACTACCAACAACTAGTAATTCCTCCAAATCCAATATATCAATGAATTCAGAAAACTCCTCCATTTCCTTTGAAAAATTCGCTTCAGATCTATTGCTCCTTTCATTAGAGTTTTTGATAGCATTAAAATCTCCACCAACACACCATTCTCCCCTACTTAAAGAAATCTTCTTATCAATAAGATCACTCCAACATTTCCTCTTCTTAGAATAAAGGCAAGACGAGTAAATGTTCACAAAATAACACAACTTATCAGACCAATACGCACACAAACCTATGAATCCTTCACTCTGAAAACTAAATAACAGAGAAATTAGACGTTCTCTAAAGAATCAACTTACCTCCTGATTGAAAACACATGCCGACTTTCCTTTTACAAAATTTTTGTTGAATCCTCTTCCTCTTCAAAGAATTGCCACACCCTCTCACATTGAAGGAAACTAACTTCATTTGATATTAACGTTATGAATAAAAAAAACTGAAAAAAAATGGAACAATCCAAAGAATAGCAAGTTGCAGACAATTAGGCCTCTTAATATTTTACTACTACTTGCTTGAACAATCTATCCTCTTTACATGATATATTATTATTTGTTCCATCTTGCTTTCATTTCACTTTTGCCTACACTTTTAACAATATAACAAACAATAGCTTCCAAAAAGTGAAAATAGAGATGACCACATCCAATGTACATACTTCTGTAACCAATATATAAACCGTACGTGTCAGGACACAAAAATCAATCTTTTCTAGATTGAAAATTCATCAATAATTAATGAATGTAAAGTGGCACCACTTGTGTTGTAAACATTATGAAATGTTACTTAATAAAAACTCACTTTTTCCTATTGAAAAAAAAAATATATCAAATGAATATGGTACTTCATCTTTGAATTTGTAACCATCGTTAATTTTGTCAATGAAATTTTAAAATAGTTAAACCATCTTTGAATTTGCTTCATGTCTATTGGATGAGTCTCCATCAAATTGATTCAATCATGTAAGCAATCATTCAATCTTTCTTTATTGTAACAATCATTCAACCATAGATCTTGTTCCACACTCGAGCATAATAAATTATTCTTGATGTAATATTGATAAAAAATTAAACATTCACTAATAAAAACAACAATTATTAGTACATGTTACCATATCATACAAAGATATTTATAGTATATTCCTCTTTGATTTGAAGATTAGAGATGTAAAAATGAATTAAGGATCGACTCACTAATCTCAAATTAAGGATCAATTCACTAATCTTAAAAAATTATAGAATTTAAATATTAAAATTAAAGTCTATATTTTTAAAGATTTTTTTAATTCAATCTTAAAATATCCGCTATCTATTAGGAATTATCCACACTCTTGTGAGCAGTCCATTAGACCCATATCGCTATAAATTTTAAAATATATACTAATATTTATATTATTTTATTTCAAATAATATTTATTTTTTCATCACAAAATTTTATCTCTATTCTATTCAAATTTTCTCTTTTAAATATTATACATTAATATAATCAATATTCTTTTCTCATATTCTATTAGTTTCTCTTATATTAAATATTTGAGTATTATTTTATATAATTTAAACATGTATTATATTTAAAAATAAATTATAGTATTTATAAAAGATAATATAATACTTAAAAATATATTATATTTAAAATAATATATATTTTTAACTTTATTTATAATAAATATTATGATATTTTAATTTTAATTTTTTATTAAAAAAAGCTTGTTTAGGCCGGATAGCCTGAAGCCCAATTAGGACGAGACTCAGATAATAATTTTTGAGTCAATATTAGAAATTGACTTTTCTAAGAGCAACTTTAACGTATAATTGTTAAACCAAAATTTTCTGTAATTTACGTTAGTAATAAGGAATTTGCATTATAGTAGAGCTGACATGACATATGGGATGCTCTAAAACTAGTTTACGTGCTCTACACAAGCAACATACTCTAACTCATTATTTAACATAAATAATAAATTTTTATTAATTATTTAACATAAATAATAGATTTTTATTAACCATTTAATACCAAGTTTGAATTCCTTATAAACAATCACCACTGAAGTAAAAACTTCTTAATTCAATTTTGGATTGCTTAAATCCTTCATGTCAATTTGGACACGCGTAAAATAACTAAGTTCATCCAATTTAGTTGCTCCCATTAAAGATACTCTAAAACAACTCTAAAAAATCTAAGTCTATAAGAACTGTCCCGTTTAAAATAGAATAGCCTATTTTAATAGCTCTACAAAAGATAAAGACTCTGCAATTATGCGTAGATTATACACAACAACAAATCAAATTTTATCCTATTTAATAACGTGAATCACATTGATTAATTTACTTCATATTCTATCCAGAATTATATTTTTATTCAAATTATTAATTTTAATTTTTTTTAATAACTTTATTTATAATTTTTCAAATCTTCTTCTACCTCTACGTATTTGATTTTTTTTCTATTCGAACTATTCTTTTTATCATAGAGTTTTTATATTTTTATTAAATATACTAATATAAAATTCTCTAATATTATTATTTTTAATCTTATATATAATTTTATTACACATATTCAATATAACATTATCATCTCAATTACAATTATGATAATTTTTAATAACTCAAGTTCAATCTCATATAACATGGCACATGAACACAATAATAGTTTGAAAATTTTTCTTACAAGTTATAAATAAAAACCATACAAAGATATAAAGAAAGATAAGATTATATATTTTTCATATCGAAAATATAAAAATAGATATTTTAACTTGTAACAGTAGAGTTCTAGATTACTATAAATACCATTTCTCTGCATCATCAAACTTCACACCTCCTCTCATTCTTTCTCATTTGAATTTGGAACAAAAAGCATTGCCACTGTTGAAATCTTTTGAAGAGTTGTTTGAATTTTCAACTAAAAGATGACTGTAGGAGCAGGAATATCTGTTGCTGATGGCAACTTGATGGTGTTGGGGAAGAAAGTTATGAGTCATGTTCATGATAATGTTCTTGTTACTCCTGCATCTGGTGGTTCCTTGCTCAATGGTGCATTCATTGGTGTTTCATCTGATCAAAAGGGTAGCCGCAGAGTTTTTCCCATTGGCAAGCTTGAGTATGTTCAATTGTTGGTTTTTGATGTTTATCAGGCTTACAATTGTTAATATTTGAGATGGGTGAAACAAAGTTTTGATTTTTGTTTGTGTTTTGGTTTCAGGGGTTTAAGATTTATGAGTCTTTTTCGGTTCAAAATGTGGTGGATGACACAGAGAATGGGTAACTGTGGAGAAGAAGTCCCTGTTGAGACACAGTTTTTGCTTATTGAAGCAAACAAAGGTTGTGATATTGATGGAGGGATCAACGATGGCGAAGAAGATCGTGATGGTTCTACCTACGCCGTTTTGTTGCCTCTTTTGGAAGGAGATTTTAGGGCGGTTCTTCAAGGGAATGATCGAAATGAAATTGAGATTTGTGTTGAAAGTGGTATGTATTCTTCATAACAACACAACATAATAGCATAAATTTGTTGATATATTCTCCGCGTTAAACTATAGAGACTAATTTCTCGAGTCAAATAGGACTGCAATGCGCAGATACTAATGTTTGTTATGTATGCGTGGTGTTTGAAGGGTGTCCTGATGTTGAGGAATTTGATGGGACTCATTTGGTGTTTATCGGGGCTGGATCAGACCCTTATGAAGTTATAACAAATGCTGTCAAGTGAGTTTCACAATACTATGTTTGATAACAAAATTTGATCAATTGTACCTACGTCTATCTGTTCGCTCGAGCGACCTGTCTACGTATTAGTAACTATGAGTTATTGATTTTTTTGCTTGTTTAGGACTGTTGAGAAACACTTGAAGACATTTTGTCATCGCGAAAGAAAGAAGGTAAACATCATTTTTCGATTGTTAAAGTGAAAATTTCATGGCCTTATTGTATCTTTAAGTTCATTCATTACCACTTGTATTATTCAGATGCCAGATATGTTGAATTGGTTCGGTTGGTGTACATGGGATGCTTTCTATACCAATGTAACTTCGGAGAATGTGAAAGAAGGATTACGCAGGTTTTATTTCTTTACATTGAAAAATGACCAAATTTATACGACTTTTGCATCATATAGTCGTCATAAGCATTAATTTGTGTGTTTTTTTAAAAATTTATTTACAGTTTTGAGGAAGGTGGAATTCCAGCTAAATTTGTGATAATTGATGATGGATGGCAATCTGTTAGCATGGATCCAAATGGTACTGAATGGAAAGCCGATTCTGCAGCAAAGTAAGTTCCATCGTCAAAAAATAGATTATAGTTCTATACATTTTCTCAATGTTGTATAAAAAGACTAATTTTCTTGTTTCTCCTTTAATAGCTTTGCGAATCGGTTAACTCATATCAAAGAGAATCACAAATTCCAGAAAGACGGTAAGGAAGGTCAACGGATAGAGGATCCTGCGATGGGACTTTTTCATATTACCAATGAGATAAAAAAGGATCATGCCGTAAAGTATGCTATTTTGATTTTTCTTCAATGTTCTCGAGATATTCAGTTCAACAACTCATGATCTTTGCAAAACTTTCGTTGTTTTGTTTATAGGCAACTGTATGTGTGGCATGCGATAACGGGATATTGGGGAGGTGTTAAACCTGGTATTAGTGGCATGGAACACTATGAGTCAAATATCACATTCCCTATCACGTCTCCCGGAGTCAAGTCCAATCAACCAGATGAAGTTTTAGATACAATGGCCATCAATGGACTTGGTCTTGTGAATCCTGAGAAAGTTTATCACTTTTACGATGAACTTCACTCGTATCTAGCATCTTCTGGTATCGATGGTGTCAAAGTTGATGTTCAGAATGTCCTTGAAACTCTTGGAGCAGGACATGGTGGGAGAGTGAAACTTGCAAGGAAGTATCATCAGGCTTTGGAGGCATCGATCTCGAGAAATTTTCCTGATAACGGAATCATTTGTTGCATGAGTCACAATACAGATGGATTGTATAGGTAGAGAATGGTTACAAAATCCCTCTAGATTTTATAATAACTTAGTAATGACTTTTTTTTTAATGAATTTACTTGATGCAGTGCAAAGCGTTCAGCGGTTGTTAGAGCATCAGACGATTTCTGGCCGAGAGATCCTGCATCACACACGATTCACATTGCGTCAGTTGCATATAATACTATTTTCCTTGGAGAGTTTATGCAGCCAGATTGGGACATGTTTCATGTAAGTTGTTAAAAAAAAAAAAATTCCAATTATGTTCTAGCTTCTTCATAAGCTAATAAGCTTTGAATTTTTGTATGCATTTTAGAGCCTACATCCAATGGCTGAATATCATGCTGCTGCAAGAGCTGTTGGAGGATGTCCTATTTATGTCAGGTAACCATTCCTTACGATAACTTCTATTGTCCAAATAAAACCAGTTGTGTAATGTTCTTTGTCTTAGCGAATCAATGAAACAATTTTTCACTACAATGCATATCCATTAATTTGTTTTCTTAATTTTGTGCACGCTTGTAATGTTATGCAGTGACAAGCCTGGACACCATGACTTTAATCTTCTGAAGAAGCTTGTACTTCCGGATGGTTCTATCCTAAGAGCTAAACTTCCAGGAAGACCAACCAAAGATTGTTTATTTGTCGATCCTGCTAGAGACGGAAAGAGGTAAAGAATCGATAATTCTCTAGTTACCGAAATATACTTACTTGACCAATTGATGTATTAGATGGTTCTTTACTCTTTTTGATTTTTTTGTTGTTGCAGTCTTCTAAAGATATGGAACATGAATGATTATTCTGGAGTTGTTGGAGTATTCAATTGCCAAGGAGCTGGTTGGTGCAAAGTTGGAAAGAAGAACCTTATCCATAATGAGAATCCAGGCACAGTAACAGGCATCATTCGGGCTAAAGATATCGACTATTTATCCACAGTTGCAGATGATGAATGGACAGGAGATGCTGTTATATTTTCTCATCTTTGTGGTATGTTTTAAGGCTCCACGGCCAGAAGTTGTTAACCGATTTTTTCTTTTGTTTAGTAATTCTAATTGTTTCTTTCTTTATAACGTCGATTTGCAGGAGAAGTATTTTATCTTCCAAAGGATGTTTCTATTCCAATAACCATGAAATCGCGAGAATATGAAGTTTTTACAGTAGTCCCTGTGAAGGATTTACCAAATGGTGTCAAATTTGCTCCCATTGGCTTAATCAAGATGTTCAATTCAGGAGGGGCTGTCAAAGAGTTCGGTTCTGGATTTAATGGAAATGCAAATGTTTCAATGAAAGTGCGCGGTTGTGGCATATTCGGAGCTTATTCATCGGCTCGGCCGAAGTTGATAACCATTGATTCAGAAGAGGTGGAATTCAGTTATGAGGAAGAATCAGGATTGGTGACTATTGAGTTGAGTGTTCCAGAGAAAGAGTTATACCAATGGAACATTTCTATTGATTTTTAAATCAAATACTTTAGGTAGGTCATGGCAATTTGATGAGTCTATGTAGACCAGTATCAGTATATGTTTGTAGTACCTATTTTTTTGTAATGTACAACTAGAATCAAATGAATGAATATCACAAATCTTCTACCAATTTTTTCACTATAACTCAATCCACACATTTTAATTCACTTTAACTCATTTTAATCCTTCCCACCTTGTGAGTACGGGTGGAAATAATCCCGACCATCTAATAAAAGCCTATGACCTAGCTTACATAGGTTTAGGTCAAACCAGATTTTTTCCTAAATAAAAAAGGTCTAGGCTTTTTTATAAGTCTATTTAGCTAAAGAGGCTAAGGCAAAGGCGGTAAAAAAAGTCTTTTAAATCTATCAGACCGACCTATTTATAAAAAATTCAATAAATTTATTATTATTATATTGTATTTTATACTTTGAATTAAAATACGAAAATAAAACTTAATTATTTTGAACAACTTATAAAAATGTAATAAGTTGTTGTCATAAGTTTTTTTTCCATAAGTTCTTTCTAACAAACAGTATCACCAAACTTATGCTAATAGGTAAACTTGAATGAGACAATGAAAACAAACATTTAGTCTTAACGATCTTTTAATTTGTTAGTCTATTTAACATTAGTTGAATTTCTTATTTACAAATGTTCAAATGAACTAAACTTTTAAATAGGCCAGTAAGTCAATCAGGCTTTAGAAAAGGTCAGACTTAGACCTAAAAATAAGCCTATGATAGGTTACAAGTCAGATTTAGACTTTAAATTTTTTAGCAGGTCAGACTCAGGCTTGACAAAATCTAGCTCGGCTCAGCCTATTTCCACCCTTACTTGTGAGGCGATCAAATACACCAAATCCTCGCATAGGGATTATTACCAACCCTATGAAAATTAAGAATATATTATAAGCATGAAGAGCATGTACAAATAAGGATAATATCCAAAAATGATGTACAAACTAAATGATTACAAAATCCTTGAGAAATAAGGGACCTACTCATCGTCCACTATCTGACCATCCCGAACCACCTTGAACAAATTCATATGTCTTAGGTTCAACCCCGAATAGAAGATGGTTACTTGTTCCTTCACCCTCTCAAAAATACTTATCAAAAGTGACCACTGCTTCAGCCTTGAGCGATGATGTCTCTTTCTCAAAATGTTTGAATGAAACTAAGGTATTATTCGAGCAATCCTTTCAAGTGTTCCCCTTTGTCTGCATAGACACGTGCTTTTAAAGCCATCTATTTGCAGTGGACTTTAAAATCTTCTATCACCTTCAAAGTTGTCACCACCTTCGAAAGCTCTTGAATCCACCTTATGACAAAAGCAAGCTGGGACTGCAACTCACTAGTCATATGGAGATGCTTATCTCTATAGACTCTCTCCACTAAGAGACATCTCAATATTTGAACTTCTGAAAGTCTCGTCAAATAGGAAAGAGACTTGTTGTGGAGTGATCGGTAATCACTGGGAAATTTCGTTGGAAAAGGGAGGCAACATCTATTGAACTCAACCGCACTAAGAGAGAGGTCACTCCACAACAAAGTTCAAGGATTTCCCATCGTCTGAACATGATCTCCACCTGTCTTTCCTCCCTCGACGACTATCTAGTTGTCTCCTGAAGGCCTCGGGGGACTTTCCTCTCATCTTTTGTTCTTTAGAGGGCGAACTTATCTGTCACTAGATGTTTTGCCTTGCCTCTTTTTTCCATCCACCAACAAATCCATAAGGTAGTCCTGAGAGATGGTCGGAAGTCGATGCTATGCTTGCATCTGAATCAAGTGCTCTTTTCTCTCAGCAAGTGAGATTATAGACATGTCCCTCGCAAAACAAAGATGTCAAAATGTATAAAGTAGTAAGGAAGAGATTAAGTAGGAAGGTTCCTTTCATAACCGTAAAGCTTACCAAGGTACTTCTCTACCCCATCACCATCTTCTTGGTCTCAGGTGATTGGAGTACGAGAGCTCATAAGCTAGAATAAACTCAACATATGAATTACCTTTTGCTCAAGGGGGAATGGTTGTTAGATATATTCCCTTGATGATGAGGATTCATTATCCAAGATAAAGGAAAGCTAGAGGCACCTGTTGCCTCGGTGGTCACCATATAAGCACTGTATCACCTATGAACCACACAAATCTATCTTTCCAATCCTCATAAGGCGCTGCATAGGGTTCTAGTAATTACTATCAGGTAAAGAGCATACAGTTATCCAACCACTGACGAAGATGACCTTCATGCTATAAAAGGAAAGGAATATCCCAATGGTGGGAAGGATGCCCAAATGGCAACAGATGATCTCAAATGCCCTAATGATGCTTTAGACATTGGGTGTGATTTGGGAGGAGGAGATCTTAGTGGTCTCCATAAAACTCGCTTTAAAATGCATGAAAGGTATCAAAACTCTCTATTCATGAATGACAGGGAGATACAAGTAAAAACAATGGACAAATAAACCACCCAAATTAGCCATGTTAGCTCTTTCCGTTACTAAGTGGGGCTCTAAAATTACATCTTCTTCGTGCCCTGTACTTGAGAACCTAATATTCTGATGAAACCTCACGATCCTTTCCGATCCAAAATATAAGGATAAAATATCTCAAACATGGACATGTTTGACATTCTTCCTGGCCATCAATTTCTGAGGAAAAAGGAAGAAGCTAAAAAGGTGAAGTACTTGGATCCCTAAACGCTTAATGAGCTTCGTAATCTTCTTCTCTTCGGGCTAAAAGATCAAATAAGCACTACCGCACCTATGAAACATCTCTGATTAACCAGTGCAAATTCTAAACTAAGAGGGAGAGGAAATGTCTTTCTAAAAAGAAAACCAAATCTCTTTATAAGGAAAAACCAAGATCACAAGGAACATACTTGCCGAGTAGTGAAATTGTTGCAAGAAGTGGAAAGGGTTTCACACGTTAATGACACGCGTAATGAAATAAACTAGACTGGTTTCCCTAAGGAAATTATCGCGATTAACATTAAATTCCACGCATGCTTCTTTCCCACTAAATGATTAAGTTTCCATAATTGACTCACGTTTTGACATCTCTAAAAATCACTTGACTGATGTCCCTCAACTGACACACATGCTACCCAGGAGACACATGTCAAGGGTTTGATGGCTCACTATTGATTAAGGGACTCACTCTTGATTAAGGGATTCACTCCTAACTTAAAAGGAGTGAATGACTTAAAACTATGTGGAAAAGGAACTTAATCATTTATCCATTTACAAGTCCTCGTGCTTGAGGGACTATGTAATGATATATTTGTTAAAACTCATAATAAGACGATATGCGACCAACCTTCATCAGGCGTCCGCCCTAAAATATGTCTTCTGGGCATGATCCCTACTTAGTAGGTGTTTCACCCTAAAGGGAAACATGGAGGGTAACATGCACATAATGCATAACCACGTGTAAAAGAAGTCATGTTCATGATTCCCTAAAAAGTAGGCAGTCAACATGTTCCTTAGTCAAGGTGGATCAGTTACTACTTCTAAGAATTTCCCAAATCCAGACCCATTGACCTCTATAAAGTCATCATCCTTAGGGTTGAGAGGACAGTCCATTATTCACCGAAAGTACCCCTATTCATAGAGCTTTTTACCCTTGTGAGTTTGCTCTAACCACACAAAAACCACCCATAAAACAAGGATTCTCACTACCTTGAGCTTTCCCTAAACACACAAAAAATATTAAAATCTTTGGCCACCCATACCAATCTACAGGTGCCACAAATATGTACTTTATTTTAGCAAGTGTAAGTAGTATCTTTGTTACTTTAATATCTTTATTATGGAGTGGAAGTATGAAAAAAATATCTTAGTCATCTAAGAGCTCTCCAAAAAAGAGATGCAATACCACATTTTATTTTTATTCTTTGTATGAAAGAGACTTATGGATATGATTAATAAGTTTGTTCAAGTTGGTGACTAAAAATCTCTACGCCTTATATTGGATGGGAGAAAAATACCACACATATTCTTTGCAGATTGGTGTACTTTTGTTTGATAAAGCAAAATCATCCCAATTAAAGTTTATTACTAACCTTTTAAGTAATTTATACTCTTTTTTAGATCTTAAAATTAGTCTAGATAAGTCAAAGGTTTATGCCTTAAGAGGAGTTAGTAGAGCTATTAAAAATTATTTTGAACATATTTCTCATATTAAATTCATTGACCCTTGAAAAAACATTTGGGGTTAAGAACATGCTATGATCAAAATCATAAGAAATATTTTATGGAAATATATGAAAAAGTGATTTATAAGCTTGCAGATTGGAAATGCAGACTTTTAAATCAACATGGAAGAGACAATCTTGCCATGACGATTTTCACCTCTCTATCTACTTATAGCATGCATCTTCGGTCATTCCCTTAGTATGTGTGTGAGATGTTAAACAAAAATACGAATAATTTCATTCGGTAGGGAGCGAAATTACGTACCATGAAATGGTTAGTTGGAATAAGGTAATCAAACATAGGAAGTGATTTGGCTTGAGAATTCTACCCTTAAGTCTTCAAAATACAATTTTGTTAGGAAAGCTTGTTTTGAATTTGGTACACTCTTCAAACAATTTACGAGCCTCGCTTTAGAAGAATAAATATATGAAAGAAAATAATTATTTTTGGACAAAGAGAAGAATGGATCATCCATTTAAAAGATTGTTGTTAAAACTATAACTATTCTTGAAGATGTGTTTTTGTTCAAGGCGAGAGATATTTATACAAAAATATGGTTCCAACCATGATTACCAAAGAAAATTTTATGAGATATAGTTTTAGATATTGTCCACACTGAAATGAGTCTCAAGGTTATATATATTTGTGTAAATGACAAGTAAAATATTGATATTGTAACCACTCATTTGTCGATTAAAATAATAGAATTAGTTGAAAGCTTGAACTCAACTACACTTTCTTTCATAAAAGACGCATGAGTTTGGAACTTCAACATGTGATAAATACTGTATAAATATTGTCT